CTCTCTCTCTCTCTCTCTCTCTCTCTCTCTCTCTCTCTCTCTCACACACACACACACACACACATGCACGCATACATAAACTTACCCAAGTTTTAAGCAAAGACGAATTTGCAGCATGGAAATCCACACACACACACATGTAAACTTACCCCAGCTTTTAAGCAAAGCAGAATTTGCAGCATGGAAGTCCAAGTAGGCATCCAGCCTTTGTGTGACAAATATCTTCAACAGCTGATATACCAGTGCATATTTCCCATCCTTCTCCAACTGAGCAACAGCTGGCATATCCAATAGATCACACTGCAGGAACAATCACACAGGAACACTTTAATGCGGAACAAATTGTCAGCCAACCCAGTAATCAGAAAAAGAATTGAGGAAAATAAGCAAAAAAAATTCAGCATGAAATATATTGTATCCAGGATATAGAATTTGACACAGGCCAATTAGTTCCCATAACCTATCTTTTGCTATTTCTGAAAATTCAAAGTGCACTGAGTCTAATCAGATGGGAAAAAACCACAGCACATCCTCCTTATTAAACATGACGGATTAGGATTTTAAAGTGTACAATTAAAATATAAACTTGAACCAAAAACCGTAGCACATTGGGTAATCATAGCCCCAATAGAATAACAGATGGTGATGGAGAGAATGTGGAATCCACCAAAGAAAAACATGAACCCAATGGTGTGGTGGGTCCGTCTCCATCACATTCCATCGTTTCTTCAAACGGTAACGATCAATCACATCAGAGTTTTTCCAAGTCCATGATTCATAGCATATTTTCACATTTCAACCAAATACAGATAAATGTGCATCAAAAAACCCAAAGTATTACATGAAACAAAGAAATGATGAAAATTAAAGGTCATAAGACCTTACAAGGAGCATACCTGAAACATGTCAGGTGCCTTAACAAACTCTTTAATTGCCCGTTCAGCTTCCTCTTTCGCTTCACCAAGGGTATGTGCATCTTCACCAGAAAAGGTTGCTAAATACTTGGTTAAAAAGGAGAATGAATCCTTTGCTGAGCTGCAAAATAGAATGAAGAGATGCAAATGATTTATGAATGCGACAAAAACCCATAAACAATACTCCTCATCCAAGGCCTTAAAAGTATACCTCTTGTTCTCCTTCAGAATGTTCGAGATGGTGAGGAAAAGTTTTCTTTGATCCACGACTCCAATATTCCACTCTCTCAAGAGGTTGTCCATCTTTTTGAAAGAAGGTATGATGCTCTCTGTAACTTTTCCAGCAACTGCCAGCTTAAGCGCTTCCTGGTAGACCTCGAAACGGCTGAAGGGCTGCTCTAGAAGGTTGTATAGATTGAACAGTCTGGAGGAGAGATATTCATATGGGTATAATATAGTAGCTTATAAAGAACCAGAAGCTTGTCTTGTAATGTATCAGTAACCTATGGTGTCATTTTTAATATGAATAAAATGTTCATTATAGAGAAAAGAAAAAAAATAAAAGAAAAGGAAAATGGCAAAGTTGAGGAGTATTACATCTTTAAGCGCAAAGCAGGCTTTTCATTTGGTTGTTCAGTGACTTTCTGATATATCCTTTGTGCTATCTCTCCGGCTTCATCGGGACTTCTGGCTTTTGTGACAAGGTTGCAAATAACAGTATAGATGCAATCTAAATCTGTATGCACAGATATGAAACCGGATGAGACAAGTTTTTTAGTGATAATTAGCCAAAATTACAACAATCAAAGAATCAGTGTGACATTTTAGAAAAGTGAATAAATCTAGGTGTAGGATAAGTCAGCATCATCTAGATCATTGGGCAGTTCTGACTTCACAGCTTCACAATCTATGTTTGACATGACAGGATATTTCAGTCCTGAGAGTAGGTTCAATGCCACTGGGGCCTCCTACTCTTTATTTTTATATTTTTATTTTACCAGGTCCAATGCCACTAGGTCCAATTTCTAACCTTTTTTCTTTATTTTACTCCCTACCTGTGAATGGGAGCTCCCAAAAGTTTATGGACACTCCAACAAGGATACAGAAACACGACTCAAGCAATCTAACCATAGCCTGTAGGTGATTGCCTGCTTTGGAAGTCATGAAAGAGACCGCCAGCTTTAGAGGATGTGAAAGCTGCTAATTTTTAGGGCTATCGACATGGTTAAGAGGTCTCTACCCCAAGAATGAACTCCAACAAGGGCTTGTCACATAAACATTATGATTAACTTCCAGGACAATTCAGATCTGGTGCCATTTAGTATGGAGGAGAGGGAGATAGTACCAAGTTTTGTATAGTCTTCTAGGTAAGGCGAATTCCTGATGGACAAAAGACCAAACTTGCTTCTGCAGGACCCAGATTACGTAGGTTAGTTCTTTGAATCCTTTGAGTATGAAGTGATTTTCTAATTAGAGAATGACATGATCGTGGATTTTGGCACAAATTCTGCAGAGCCATGGCATGTTTGGACATAAAATCAAGAGATTAGGGATGCAAAGGGAGCACATTAGAGCACCAAAGCTTCTAGCAAACGTCCCTAGAAAGAATCACAATAATATAAGAAAAAAGGATTCATGAAACGAAACCCCGCAGAAAGACTTCCCTGTCAAAACATGAAGCCTCGCGTGTGGGAAACCAATACGGCAGTGCACAAAAACATTACTTTTTTCTTATTTCTTTTCAAAAAATTTGAGTGTGCGTGCCAGCATATGAGAGAGAGAGAGATATTAGGTTTCGAAGACTTCAGAATAATGTCTGATGACCTGAGATCATTCAAAAGCAATATTTTAGAATGATATCCAATGACCTGAGATCATGCAAAAGCAAAACTCCAATGTTTGTTTATACAGCATGTTAGCTTTCCAAGATTCCAAATGTGTACACGAGAGTGCTACTGCAATTGTATGATTGTACCTTTTTCAGCTACTCGGGAAAAAATGAGTTCAGCTAATGTGAGCATTTGAGATGCCAAATCTAACCATCGACCAGTCACCATATGTTCTTGGGCCTCAAAAAGTAAGCTAGCCACCTGACTCTCCGCGAGCTATCAACACAATGAAATATGTCAACCATTAAGATGTAGAAGACAAAATATAACTAAAGAAGAAAAACAACCAAATGAAATAACTTGACAAAAACAACTCAATCAATTACTGAAAATGGTTCAACTCAGGTTAAGAAAACTGTTCCAGCCACAATGCTTGGATCATGCAGAATCCAAACCGCATAAAGAAACAACAAATACAACTAGAATCAAATTTATTCATACGTTAATAATACTTCCCAAACCAACAAAAAGACGCTTCCCTAGTGCGCATCATGCAATCAAACACAATCATTGATATCACTCAAATGGAGTCAGAAGCATCATGCCACCACTCTGACACTAGAATAATTTCCAGCATCATCATCATCATCAGAACCTTTTCCCAACAGTTTCCTACATACACTTTCATATTAATAAGCCACAAAACTATGGCAATTAGATTCATTTGAAGTGTTCAATGGACTAGTATTAAAGGGGCAATATGAAAAATTTCACATATGAAATTTCAAGTAACTTTACTTTCTTTTAGCAGCTATCCATACTCAACATTAAATATAGATATGGTAATATAGAAATGTACGCATTTACTGCGAAGAAAATATAGAGAGAATTTCTGCTCATTCAATTAGGAATCGAACACCCATGTAAAACTAGAAAGGGGGAAACTTCAAATCAAACAGAGCATATAAATGCACTTGAAATTAATCTATAATAGTCAAGAATTAATAAAATATGATCAAATTTCTTCATTACCCTTTGTTAACATTCTCAAAAAAAATAAAAAATGATCAGAGGTCAGAATCATAAAGTGGAACCAGTGCATTAATCAAGAAAAGAAGACTATCAAAAGTTCTGAACCATTTATTTAAAACACAGAGAGTAAGCAACCAAAGAAAATGCTGCTCTATAAACCAAAAAACAAAGTGAAAGGATAACTAAAAAGTTCTCCTACAATTTAAATTTAAAACAACACAAAAGATACAGAAATAGAAAATCATCTCGATCCAATAGAAAGGATAGATTCCTCTCACTATACCCTTCGCGCAGCAGTCAAATAGTTGTTAGAAACACCTGAGATTCCAAATCGATTTAGGAATCGAAATCAATGAATCGTGGGAGGCTGGAAGATTCATGTTGTCTAAATCGCTATCCATACATGCATAATGGCAGAAAACGAGACTACTACTTTATCAGAGTCCAGTTTCAACCCAAGAATCGAAATTCCTACCTCTACGGGATTGAGTTTCAAACTGAATGGAATCGAGCTTCACACCAACTGGAATAAAGTTTCAATCCACTTGGAATCAAGATTCCTACCTCTAAGGGATTTGAGTTCCAATCTAGCTGGAATTGAGATTCCAACATCTATGGGATCACACACCCAACTTAGAACCACATCAAAAATCATCAGGAAATTTGCTTCATAAGGCAAAAGTTTCAAGGTTCTCCAGTAATCTTTATGCGAGAATCCCAAAGTATTGGAATTGATGTTTGAGTATGCTTACCCTATGGTTCCAATGGTGCATTGCAATTGAACTCCTCAAAAATCATAAAGACCTGAAAAAGAGTTTCCTTGTATTGAAATTGATGTATTGAGCTTTATTCGTAGTATTAGAATTAAGGTTGAGTGGCCGCAACACTAGATTTGAGTTAAGAACAATTAATAGACATCCACAATCCACTAGGGGATTTGTGATGGTGTTTACAAAACATATAAATATTATCTCATGTATAATTCAGATTTTGATCTCATAGTTATAGTTGAAAATGGAAATTTCTTTGTACCATTGTGTTGCTCTGTGTTGTAAACTGAATCAAACCCAATTCTCTTTCCCAATTATCAATGTTAAAAAGTCGGCCGCCCGAACGCCTAGGCCAATTAGGTGGTCAATAAGGCGGAACTAGGCACCCGCCTAGGCGGCACACAAGGCTTTGGCGGAAATATTTTTCGGGTGGGGGCAAAAAAATACAGTTTACCCCCTTAAAGGGGGGATAAGGGTTTGAGGGGTCATTCTTTTCCCCCAAAACAAATGTAGTGAACTTTAGAGAGAGAAATAACTTGAAAAAAACTAGATTTGAAGATTTTTTGCGAGATCAAATTTTTTTTCGAAATCCTCAAAAGGTCACGATATTAATGGATATTCAACCCCAATATTTTTTAGGCTTATAGGGGTTGTAAAAGAGGAGATTTGGAATCCCAAATGTTTCCCCGAAATCAAGTCCACTTCAAGAAGGTTGGTATATTTCAATAGTTTTCATTAGGTTTTGTATTTTTTTCCCTTAATGTCTAATGATGTTACTTTTTGCTATTTGTATTTGTTCTTTGATACTTTGTGATATATATATTTGATATGTTATTGTCTATTTGTAGTGATGATGAAACTCAAGCTCATAATTGAGTTCATCATAGTGGGCTGAATAAGACTTTTTGTAGTTTATGGCCTTCGTTGTTCGGATATGCGTTCATATGAATATTTGCTAATGAATTTTAAAACTTATGTGACTTGTGATTTGCGAGATTTAAATGACATCTCGAGTTCATTTTATCTTTTAATATTCATTTTGAGTTATAATTATTTCATTTACAATCTAAAGTTGTAAATGTTTAGGTTTGATCTGAGCTTCCGGCAACTTAACAATATATTACATACAAAACTTACTTATTAAATAATAAATTAGACAATTTTACATATATCATAAAATGGGGGAAGGTGTGGGGATCCAAATTTTAAAAAAAAAATCACCGATTTTTTTTGGGTATGAGCGCCCGCCTCCGTCTTATTGAACAATGCCAACTATCTTTAAAAGATAGCCGCTAGATCTAGGACTATTAGAAATGTAACCAAAATCAAACCCAAATCTTTTTCCCAGTTACAAAAGCATGTAAGAATTCCTAACCTTATTTTCAAATACCATTTACTTAAAAGATGAAATGAAAGTGAGTACATATAATTAGACAAAAAATAAAATAATATTTTTTTAGTTCGCATTCACATTGTGTTGTAGCATACACCTATGAACATTAGTATTTGACTCTATGGAATCTAGATTCTAAAAAAATCGGATCGAGAATTTATGAAGGTGGAGGCAAGATTCCATGTTGATTGAATCACGGTTTTGCACCTAAGAACCGTGATAGTTGATGCTGTGAAATCTGGATTCCAAAAAAAATCGAATCAAGATTCAATGAATGTAAAACCAAGATTCAATAAATGTTGAAACCGATATTCAAAAAAAGTAGAACCGAGATACCCAAAATATGGAATCAAGATTCCCAAATTATGGAATCGAGATTATTGACTTCAAAGAAACAGGTTCCATGATGATTCCTCGATGGAATCACTGAGTTGGGATCCTGAAGCACAATCACGACCCTAGGGTAAGAGATTTTGTTAACTATGGATTGAACACATATTAGAATGGAGTCTGATCCCAACCCAATACTATTGTAGTTTGAGGTCTCCCCAATGAAACTCACTAAAAATAAGTAACTTGACAGTGAAGTTTGGAGCTAAGAAGTATGTTAAGGATAGCTCCCCCCCAAAACCTGTTATTTTAATACTAGATATAGTCCAGCTTCCATGTTGCTCATTAAAATTCATCAGATGCCATTGCACTGCAGCTCTTTCTTGCAAGACAATATTCAAGTCAATGTTAGAAGAGCAGGCAACACCAAACTATACCTCTTGCAACTCTGTCTGAGCTACTCTCATGCCTTCATAAAACATTATTCACATGGTGAAATGAGTTTTGTGCCAACAACCCACAAAGCAATGCCATCATACATGAACAAGCTCTCTTACCACACGAACTTCTTTATCAACATCATTGGCACATGAACTAACCAGAACTGCACATCAGGGGATCAATTTAAATATATTTTTTTTGTTACAAGTTCTAATCATAATTTCACAGAGCAAAGGACCCAATACCAATACAAGGGATGGAATACCATAAAACTACCAAAAACCACAAACCCCACACTTCTCTAGGTCAATCACTGCATCAATTATTCTGAAATAGCTTACATTGTCTACGAATGCCCCAAAGGTGGGTTTTTCTTTTCTTTCAGGTTTAGGGACATTTAGCTTGCACCAGACGCACAATCTCAGATAAATATCAGAAAGGCATCATGAATAAAATTCATCTGAAATAGGATACCCCCATGCGAGAAATCAACAGTCCAGTACACGATGAGTATGAGTTCCTTATCACTCTTTCAAGGATGGTAACTGAAAAGAGTAGGGATTTAAATATACGTAACGAAGTCAGTTTTCATCTTCCTAATGCATATAACATGACTGGGTTACTCAACTCCTGGAGCATATCTAAGCAGCTTACAAATTACCCATGACCATAATCTCCTTCAACTTACTTCAATGTCAATTCTTCTTGAAACTATAGAGGATGTCGCATTTTTAAGTGTACATCGCCAAGCAATTGATTCAGATCACTATCAAATCAAAGCTCAACAAATGGTGAAAAAGACACGAGCTTTAATGATAAGCCCCAAGTTTACATTGTACCTGAGTAAAACAGTGGCCCAAAATCCAGTAAACTCAGTTCCACCAAAGGGAATAATATATGCAATTCACACAAATCATTCATTCCATTGTTAGAAAACGAAAATTAATCATGAGTTCCCATTTCCATATAAATGCATCAGAAACGATCAAAATGCCATTGATATAAACAATCTTTTTACTCAAAAATAAAAAATCCAATCTACCACTCAGCAGATTGTGTACAAATTATAGTATTCCAAAAAATAATAATACAAACGAAGAGGAAAGAAGTTACAGTAACAAAAAAAGTTTGGTACTAAAGGTTTTGGTATCAATAAATATGGAGAAAAAATCGAATAATTCAGAAATTTGCACACATTTGACCATAAATAGCTATAAAAATAAACGGATGAAAGAGAAAAAAAGTACCTCTGGTCCTGCATCTTGCCAAGCCATCTCTGCAGTAAATCGAACCACGACGAAAGCTGAATCCTCCTCTGAAGTCTCAACAATAGTCGTCATACTTACAGGAGATCTTTTTACCAAAAGGATTTTGCAGAGAAGGTGCAAAACGTCGAGAACAAACCCTAGTTTCCGTGAACAAGATAAAAGAAAGAGAGCGCTTCACTGAAAAACCCTAAAAATGTAAACACAGAGATCGATATGATGGTTCGCGCGAACGGCCCAAACTTCTCCTTTAAATGACAAAACAATCTCTCTTTCGCCTTCTTTTCCCTGAGGTTTGTGACCGAAACACTCCCAAACATATATTTAAGATGACAAAAGGATTCCCTTCGCTCTTCGTTCGTATTGTGTTGCCTCCTGAAGGACCCTAAGACCGCCCAAACTGAAGACCGATGTTGTCGGAACTACATTCGTGACCGAACCGTGAGGCCACCGATCCACTTGGGATGCTCAAATCGGACTGGTTCACTGGTCTCAATTAAATACTTAATAAAAATATCAAAATAAAAAAAATAAAAAAGTAAAGAGAAATTTAAGAAATAAATAAATAATAATAATAATAATAATAATAAAGCACATAATTTCTTATATTCATCCTATTACTTTTTACTTTTTTTTTTTTTTTTTTTTTTATCAAAATTGCTTTCACAATAGTCGTATGACCATGAAGCGTCACGGTACTTAAAATACCGTAATGACTACAGGATGTATCAAGTATTTTAACCGTGATAATTTCAATGTTTTGAGGTATCATTGAGATAATGGTTTCAAGGTATTTTATCACGCTAGTTTAACTACCATAATGATCTCAAGTCTTGGTTTCTATAATGAAACATATGTATAACTTGGGAGCTTTGGATGAAAAAAAGGCTCTTATGAAATTGGGGAGGAAGACGCTTGAGTTTCCTCTGAACCCACCTCATTCGAAGATGCTTCTTGCTAGTGTGGATATTGATTGTACTTTTTTTTTTTCTAATTATCAAGTGATTGGCGCTTCTTATTCACCTAATTTTTTTTTAATCTTTTAGATGTCAAATCCTTTTCACTTTGTTGCGTTGCCATATCTGGTTAAATGTTTTATTCTTGTTGTTGATTTGTGACTAATATCTTGCACATGTATGAATTGGATGATGGAAGTGCTGCAAAAAATTCCACCGAGAGAAGGAAGGCGATTTGTGCGGGGTTCTTGTTGAAAGAAAGGCTAAGGTGATATTGTCAGGGATTTTTTCTTTTCTTCTTTTTCACCCATTTTTTTCATTTTCTTTTCTTTTAACAAATATAAATTACAAGTAGTTCTATTACAATAAATTCTTGCTTCATAAAAAATAAAACTAGCAAATCTAAGATGTTAAAAAAAAATTGATGCACTAAACCAATTTTCTTTAAACAAAGAAAATAACCACAATTCTTATGCTTGAGAATATAAAGATAATATAATTAAATATGACAATAAACAAAAAGAGAATGCCAGAGATTATCTCAATCGGGTTTATTACACCTCACAACGAGTCACCACCAGCCGATGGTGCGGATCAATGATCTACCCTCAATATCAACGGGGAAAGCAAAGCTTAAGTCCCTCAAATGAAACTTTGAACTCCTCTCGATCACAAATCTCAAACTTAGATACAAACCATAAAACCTAGTTCAATAGAGATAACACCTACTTACTGTCACCCAACCCTTAGGATCTACATAACACAATATACACGAGAGAGAGAGAGAGAGAGAGAGAGAGAGAGAGAGAGAGAGAGAGAGAGAGAGAGAGAGAGAGAGAGAGAGAGAGAGAGAGAGAGAGAGAGAGAGAGAGAGAGAGAGAGAGAGAGA